ATCGCGCGGATGCGCGTTGGGAGGAGGGTCGCGGGGGGAGAGACGTGTCGGTGTGTCGTTGCCGCTCGTCCTGTCCTCCGCGACTCTGGCGGGGCTGCACCGCTTTCGACGATGCAGTGGCGGCGGGGCCGCGGGAGAAGAGACGTGCCGGTGTGTCGTTGCCGCTCGTCCTATTCTCCGCGGCCGAATGTGGGCGGTTGGCCCATGGTGGGCGCTCCAAGGGACTCTCTTCGGAGAGTCCGCGCGGAAGCACGTTCGGTGTTGCGGCGGAGCCTGTCATCAGATCCGCCGCAGGGGCTGGGGGAGCATCCACTGAACTTCACAGTTGAGTGGATGCTGTCCTGGCCCCCCATGGCCCCTGGGTAGCGGACTCGGGAGTTCGTTGCCCAGCATAAAGGGGCCCGGGATGGAAGGCTCGTCTGGTGTTCGGTGAGCCTCACATTCGGAGTCGGGGGACCGATGTGTCTCCCTTCTCGGGGAGGGGCTGCGCAGGGCGCGGCCAGCCGGGGGCGCGGACGAGTGCAACAGCGTACCCGTACCCCCACCTAAGCGGAGAGGAGGAACACTCCGAGGGTTTAGTGCGGTCGGGTTGCTCCCCTTCAGGGTTCAGCCCAGTCACACATAATCCCGGCTCTGCCCCCGCGAGGCCGGGGTATCCGTAAGCAGATTCCCTCGGATTAACAAAAAAAAAAAGGTTAGTAGGTATGTACTTTGTGCATGTGCGTGTGTGCAAATTAATGTAAAATTGGACGTAATTTCGTCTGCCTCGTAGAAGCCTGCACTACAAAATGTTAATATATCTCGGTTTTATTTTTCACACAATAACACGACGACTCACGGCCAAATCTCCAACAAAAAATAAAATAATGGCTGGTCGAATAGTTGCCAGCGAGTTTTGGCCGCAGCTCGGCATTTGTATAAAAAATAATGTCGGTCGTTTTGCATGTACGGAACGATCTCTATAAGATATTATGCTGCCTTCAAATATTGGATAAATGTTTTGATGTTGAAAATAAAGTACCAACTGTCCTCTGCAAGGATTTAAACTTTCATGTTACGTATGTATATTATATTAAATACTGAGATTGTGAATAATATCTATATAAATAATATATAAGAATTATACACGAAATAAGTTTATTGGATACCATTTAGGCCATCATTTTTTGTTGTACAAATATAGAATAAAACAATCATTAAATCCACTACCACAATTCTAAGTACACTTAGCCACAGGGTATATTTTATAATCTGCCATTATATAAACTGCAATTTTAACACTAGCTAAAATGACGTAAGGTGTACTTTTTAGTTTATCTTTTTAAACCGGGTACTCCTAGCAAGCAGTAACCGTAACCGTTGCATGTTATGTAACCAAAAATCATAGTGTGCACGTGGTTCACGAGTTTGCCGCGAGCGGAATGCGAGCGGTTTGCAGTGAGCCATCTGATTGAAGACTGTTTTTGAAGAACCTCGTTACCGTATCTGTCACCTTACAGTTAAGCTTGCTAATGAGTACCCGGCTTTAGGTGTACATCACCGTTCATAGATAAAACACAATACGGTTAAAATAACTAGTACAATGCAAAGTGCTATTAAAACCTATTTTTTTTCTTTGTTATATGTCAGCTACAAGCATAAATATGCCATTAAAAAGAGAAGGCAAAGAGGTTTGGATTCTCGAGGCTGTTCTCGGATGGTTAACATATAGTCGTTAAGAAAATTCTCCCTCCACCAAGGTAGTCAGAAACCTTCTTACAGGATTATTTTTAATTGTAATCATTTCTGAAAAACTTCTTTAACAACATTTAAAAGTACGTATGTTATACATAGGGCGCACTATAAGTTTCCGGAACTGGCCACTTACATAAACAATATTTAAAAAGTAATTACAACATTTAAAAATTTCTTTCGGAACTCTTTGGCCGTAGAATAGTTTGTTTCATCTGACTGTCGCTTGTTTTTACATTGTGGCATCATTTTAGAAATTGGTTGTCTACATCACCATGGATTTAACTCGTGAAAATTTTCGTAGTATGATTTTCTACGACTTTAAGTGTAATTTAACAGCTCAGCGGAGCTTCGCTCGGCTTCAAACTGTTGGCAATGAAGCATCATGCAAGACGACTATTTATAGCTGGTTTGCAGAATTCAAACGCAGTTGTGTGACTCTCTGTGACGAATTTCGTGATAGTCGCCCGTCCACTGCTGTGAACAACAAAAACATCGATGCTGTGCGCCGTATGATCAAAACAAACAAGCATGTGATATACCATGACATTCGGGTATCTTTAGGCATAGGCATGAGTCAAATACAATCAATACTACACAAACATTTGAGTGTGAAAAAGCTGTGCTTTCGGTGGATCCCACACAATTTTACTGAGGCTCAAAAAACGGATCGTGTCACTTGGTGCAATGCCATGCTTACCAGATTCAACGAAGAGGCGTAAAATTTAGTGTGGGACATAGTAACAGGTGACGAAACATGGACTTATAGTTACGATCATAAAACAAAGCAGCAATCGAGCGTATGGGTCTTTCGAGATAAGCCGAAACCAACCAAAGTGGCGCACGTGCAAAGTGCCTCTAAGCGGATGATTCCTTCTTTTTTTTAATAAAACTGGACACGTGGCTACTGTTGCTTTGGAGAATCGTTGTACAATGAAAAGTGATTGATATGCGACCATTTGTTTGCCGGAAGTTATTGACAAACTCTGTAAAAATAGCCATAAACGCCGTATCATCTTGCACCCCGATAATGCCAGTTCTCACACGGCCTGACAGACAAATGAATTTTTGAAGGTGAACAATTAAGAACCAGTTACGCGGTCAACGATTTTCATCACCTGAAGAGGCTGTCGAGGAGTATGAAAAATATGTTTCAGAGATTGTCACAGAGGAGTGGCATAAATGTTTCCAAAATTGGTTCATTCGTGTGAAAAGGTGCATTAAAGCTAATGGAGAATATTTTGAGAAACATTAATTCATTTCTGACCATTTATAGTATTTTTTTCGTATTCATTCCGAAAACTTATAATGCGCCACATGTAAGAAGTCGGTCCGAATCCGGCCGGATTGAAGGAATTTTTTCTGAGTGTTCGATCTCGTATTAATATTTATAACAAAGTAGTGGAGTAATTTCACATAAAAATAATTGAATATCAATTCAATAAAAATTTAAACATTTAAAAGTTTTATTTTATTAGCAATAGCGCTCCTTGTGAAAGAGTTCGTCTATGAAAGAACCACCTTACTTATTTTTGCCGCTAAGCAGTAATGTGAGCATTACAGCAAATTAGTTTTGAAGTGTAAGGGTGCTGGTGAAATTACTGACATATGGGACTTGTCAACTTGTCTCAGGGTGACGGGCTCAGTGGCAGTACCCCTCAGATCTTTGCAATTTAAAACTCTGAGCGGCACTGCAACTACAGGGATACAGTATCGAATCAAATGTATCGATACTACTGCAACTATATAGGGACACAGTATCGAATCAAAAGTATCGATACTGTACTCATGAATAGTATCGCATAAAGTGTCGATACCTTGAGTTGTAGTAGTGGTAGTGGTAATAGTAGCAAAATAAAATTCATGAATTTGTCTTTGTTTATTGATTTATGACCTTTAATTGAAACAAATAATAAAAAAAATTGATCAATTCAATCAATCGTCATTTCACATAATTTGTGTTACTTAAATTTCCAATTTCCCACTCCTCCTCTGTACAATCACTTAAAAACAAAGATCTATTTAGTGACGGTCTTTTTCACGTTTTTGATACTGTATTGCCTGCTTTTGAGAACAAACGTTCTGAAGAAGGGACAAACTTCTATAAAGAGGCAAATGGTGGCATACAACATACAGCCAAGTAATTTGTGATAAAGGTTGCCATTAAAAAAAATCGCTAGGTGGCTCGCGTCATGATGTGAGGTGTCCTAAGTAGGAATTATTCGAAACGATAAGATACTCGTCAAAACTACTAATACCCGAAAAGTATCGAGTACAAAAGTATCGGTATCTGTAAGGGCAGATTAGCGACTCTGTCCTGACAGTAGAGACGCGGTAATCGTTATCACGAGGGTGTTTTCGGAGTAGTTGTTGAAATTAAAACTGTTATAAGTTTAAAAGTAATATTGTTCAATTATAAATGAAAATGTAAAATAAAGTTTTGTAAATATTTTAAATATGTTAATGTTAAATATTAAATGTTAATGTTTAATGTTATTAATGTTTTTTGTTTAGGTGTTGGTAACTATAGTCGTCACAAAATAAGAGGTCACATTTGAAAGTTGTCATCGTGACGCGAATAGGGATGTGGACTAATCATATCGGTAATCACATTATACGATTTTCACGAGAAATCGATTCAAAATTTTAAGAGTTTGTAATTGTTTAGATTATTTTTCAGTTCATTGTTGTTCAGGAGGCCTAAAAGACCAAATCGTGCAATTCTGTTAAAACCAATTCATTTACAGAATTCCTTGCAATTCCTCTCATTTTCGTAGAATTGTCCCACATTCCGACGAATTGTACCCAATTCTTTTAATTTTGATTTTATAATATCCATAAATAGTTTATTACGTAAATTTAGTGTAAATTAGTATGTTCATCGATAAAACAACTACATAAAACGATCAAATTACCAAGAAACCAAGGATTTCATGAATTTTATATTATTCACATCTAGTTTTATTTTGCTGTAGTAATACAGCAAAATAAAACTAGAACTAGACCATGTCAATGCAGCAAATCAAAGTTCAATGTTGTACGTAACCGTACAGTATCGGAGGGAAAAGTACCTACTCGATACCAAAAAGTATCGATACATTTTCCGTGTCCCTACTTTTATATTACCAATATGAACCAACATAATAAATAACTATTGTTGCTTATTCTGTTGCTTTATACTGGTAAAAGTTAACATCATAGAGATTTCAATCTACTCTCTACAAGTTTTTAAGTACCTAGTAATAATAGTTGTATAATCAAATACTAAACTAATTTATTTTCATCCAATGGCCAAAAATAATTTCACATATAAAAAGCACAAATGATACGATCCATCCTGTGAAAAGGATAATATAACACCCTTTAAAATGTTCCAAAGTTATAGGTTCATTTGTTTTAGGGTCCTCGCTAGTAGGAAGGTTTGTGTAGTCGTTGTAAAATTTATTCGTGAAACCAGCTTCTGTTAGCCGTTCTAGAACACGGTTGACAGGTTCAACGAGAGGTGAAAACTTCTTAAAATACACCACCGTAGGACTCACAACTATGAAATGAGGTAGAATATGAAGCTTACGATTTTTGAACTTCTGACGGAACAATTTCACACTTTCAAAATTATTTGCTTCTACAAATTTGTATCCTTCTGTAATTTTTTCAGTGGTGATATCGATCATATTTGCGTCCAAAACAATCCATTTATTGTATATAGTAGGAGAGTCTGTATAATATTCTTTAATTGCAACGCCTCCGCCGAACCGAAAGCCTGCATCGTTCGCCGCTTCCACCGTATCGTAGTTGGGGAGATACACGTTATGTTTCAGAGAATTTATCAAGGCCGCTTGGTAAATTGTTCTGATTAGAAAAGTATACCAGATCCAAATGTACACGATGACCAATAGGGTACGTTTTTTAGGTAATACATTTGTTGGTAAACCCAGGAATAGCATCCAGGAGTAAAACACCACACTGCTTTGCGAGCGATTAATGTTAATTTTAGTACTAAATTCAGTCCAAAACTTTGTTTTTGTAAGGAGCGCTAATCCAATAACAAGAGTATACGTTGTAGCTACAGCTATATGAGTGTCCATACGAAACGGACGCAGCAGCTTTAGCGACGACGATTCGAATTGAGTAGGGCGTGTTATCCACACAAAGTGCACGAAATTGTACGAAGTGGACATGTCGAAACTCTCAAATCGGTTGTGCGTAAGTGCGGTAAAACACGAAGAAAAATTCGCTAAATCATGGTAGACGTCTCCAAGGGAACCAACCCAAGAACCGTCAGGTTGGCGCACTCCCCACCCATTTGATTTATAAGGCGTCATTATTTTGAAGGTAGCGTTTAGTCTTTCTCCTAAAAGCCACGTCATATCTCCAACTATACCTGACATTGATTCATTTTTGTACAAGTACACATATGGCGGATGTTCAAATGTAGACACTATCAATGTACATCCATGAAGATTGGTTAGCTTTCGTGGGAACATTTTGCAGTTATCTTTACTAGTAACGTCAATACAAGTGTCCAAATTGTATAATCTTACCGGAGGACTGATATCACAAAGATTGTCTTCCAACGGATAGTACGTGTAACCGACAATTCCCGTTTCGTTGAAGACTCTCCGAATAAAAACAACGTTAGTCACTTTATAATTCCAAAATATGCGCATAGCTTGAGATTCGCTGCAATCCTCTTTGTTCTCCGAAAGACAAATGATAACATGTTTACCGGTGTTATCGAATACGCGTTCCTGCATCCAATGTAAAATCAATTCAATATTTTTATTGTCTGTGACAAATAACACATGTTGCTTTGCAGATTGGGCACTGAGCGTGTCATATTCACTCTGACTTACAATCATGCTCTTGTTATAAAACTTAGCAAAGACTTCTTCTCTGCACAGTAGTGTTGTATTTAAAAACACAAACGTTATGAATCTCCACTCGAAGTTGTAAAATGCTATTTTCGCTGCACTTTCTGCTAAACGCTCCTCTACAGATGTGTTGGTAAAAAATAAACTAAAATCTAACTCCATACTGCATGACATGACGTTGAGGCAAATATTTAGAATAAAGTAAATCAAATTGTTATGAAGTAACGTAATTGTCTCTGGAATGTTCGTTTACAAATGGAAGATATCATCGCCGCAGTCGCACAGTATCATCAGAAGGTTCACATGTTATTAAATATGTAATTGTTATCTAACTGTGAAATCGAACCGTTTAATGATATGGTGCCGAATGTAATACGGCGGTGTTTTTTTACTAAAATAAAAAATTGTCCTTAACAATTCTGATTTCAATTGATAGACATCACGAATGCACATAACCGTGATTGGTGGAGCTTTGTGAAACGGCTGTAAAACAATTAATTCAATCAATCCATTGTTTCTTGTTTTGAGAGCAGGTAAAAAGTTTTAGGACAGCGCTAAATACGACGGTTACGTAATTTCTTACCTATTGCCACGAAAACTGCGCTTGCCCAAACTCTTCTTCTTCCAATTCTTGATTATGCTGATGCCTGCTATCTGGACTTAACCGAAGAACAGCTCAACACGCTCGAACGTCTACAAAACTTTTGCATCCGTTTCATTTATGGTCTGAGGAAATTTGATCATGTTTCCATTTATCGCAAGGAGCTGAAGTGGTTACCCATTAGACTTCGCCGGAATGCTCATATTCTTAATCTTCTTTAGGGCTTCTTATTCATTCGTCACACACCACCTTACCTTAAGGAGCGATTTGAATTCGCCCATCAATCCAACCCCTGACTTCTGCGCTCTTCTTCAACTCTCCAACTTAATTTAGTGTGACTTGGACTGCTTAGTGCTTAAGTATTTTTATATTTTGAAATTACGTTTTAGAAATTTTATACTTATAGGTATAAGAATATATAGTAGTTTACGATATTAATATATATGTATTGGTTTTATTACTTATTTATAAATATATGTTTATTTGCATTTATTTATCAATTTTTACCTATTGATTAGTAATTCCTCATACACCGCCGTAATATATAATATAATTACTTCCATCCAAAGGTTGTCTGGCAGAAATCGCTTCAAGCGATAAGACCGCCCTTTGTACCACCGCTCATTTTTAATTTAATTGTATTGTATTTGTGTCCTTTTTTGGTGTACAATAAATAATTTTTGTATTGTATTGTAAATAACATTCCATTAAATGCATTATAATGAAATAGATTGGGTGACATTTATTATTGAGAAATAATAATTAACAATATTTTATCAGTACAAGCATCCAACCGCAGTCGGAACTCAAGCTAAAATTCTCACAATGTCACGCGTAAGGTAACGTTAGACTACAAACGTTTCAGCAATATTGTATGTAGTTGTCATTGTATATCAAGTATATTTGTAGGTACAAGTATCATTGGTATAATAACCCTATCTAATAAATATACATCAAAAGTGCTTGTAACACATGAAAGTCATAAAAATGATACGAAGAAACAAATGATGTATACTTGAAATATTTGAAACTCTCCTACTTAAGAATAAAAAGTTATCGACTGATTTTGTTCGTAGAATCATTAAACATCTCTCCTGAAAAGCTGCTATTTTTCAGATGTGACCTTATTACTTATTTTAGTAGCAGTAGAGCTCCTTGTGAAAGAGTTCGTCCAGGGAAGTACTGCCACCTTACCTATTTCCATCGCCAAGCAGTAATGTAAACATTATTGCGTTCCGGTTTGCAAGGGTAAGAGTACTAGTGAAATTACAAGTACATGGGAGTTGTCAACTTATGTATGTCTCAGGGTGACGGGCGCAGTGGTAGTGCCCATAAAATCTTTGCAATTTTAAGCTCTGAGTAGCACTGCAAACTACTATGGATAAGCATGCAGCTTACCATCAGGCGCACGACTTGTTCGTCCCGTCATTCGATGTTATAACAAAAAATTATATCAAGACTGCGAATTATAATAAATACACCAATAACACGCTGCCCTCCTTATCGTGGCTAACGTAATGGAAATGTTTACCGAAATTGAGTTTTTAACATAATCTCAGTACAGAGTACTAAAAAAACAACCTCTCAAGTCATTCATCCCCTAGTTTGCCACCATTAGAAGTGGAATATTGTCCTCAAATTGAAATGGGACCACTGCTGAGGTACCCTCTTTCCAACAAAAGAATCATCAAAATCGATTCACAAATCCGGAACCGGAGTTATCGCGTAAAACAAATACAAAAAGAAAAATACAGTGAATAAAATATGAATATTTTATTAATATTATCATAATATTAATAAAATATTCATATATCATATGAATATATTGATAATATTATCAATATATTCATATGAATATGAATATATTGATAATATTATCAAGTTATATAGTTAACGACGTAAAACTAAGCGGAAATTTAAACGGAAATTTGTGATTCCCAATCACCAGACGAGGTAGTCTAGATCTGGAACAAATTAAATCTAGAATATTTCCTACAAAATGAAAATATAAATTTAATAAAATTAAAGAATGTCCCAATCGAGTTTGATTTCACTGCTCAAGGGTTTATTTTTGAAGTATACATAAATACAGTATTGGTATTAATTATCGCGATTTGCTATATGTCATAGTTATATTACGTATATTACAGTTACAGCAATTCATCAAACAAGCCGAATTGAAATAGAAATATAAGATACTAACTAATCTAAGTTAAAATTAACTGCTAACTAAGATCCATCCTTACTTCCTTCTGACACTCTCTTCCTTTCGGTCATCAGTATCTCTACTCTTATCACAAACACATCACACTGCGTATGTACCTATCTCTAAAACCAGTTGCTCATTTGAGAAATATTACTACTGGTGTAAATATGTGTGGTATGAATTCAGAGATTTGTTTCTGTGTGAAGTTCATTAGTTTTAATTTTCATTTATTTTTTGGGCGCGCGTCAAAAATAATTTGTCAACACCTATACTTTTTTGCAATTAGTAGGTATTATAAGCTTGTTTGGGTCTATGAGTGGGTGTGCAATTATGTAAATTCAACAAAAACTAACGTATTAGGGAGTCGCCACACTGATTGATGAGGAATTGGCTTAAGCCAGTCAGAAAAAGCTTTAAGTCTAATATGAATAAGATTTAAAACGACGTTTGCGTTAGGCCCGGCGGGACGGCACAGAAGGGAACTTTTACGAATAGTACCCAATATACTTCAATGTTATGATTTTCTAGTGGAAATTTCAATTAAAATCGTCGTGGCTTCAAAAACAAAGATAAGGTAAACTTAGGGATACCGAACCGGCAGAGTCAGCGAATGACTTCCTTCGGGATGTTTCGGCAGGCTTCCGAAGGTTATTGACCCAAAATCTTCTCTTCTTGGAATACAGTTCTCTTCTTTTTCCTCAGTAAGACTACCATTTTTAAATATACACCATAAATTAGCTTGCAATTGCAACGTCACGACTGTTCTGAAGAAAGGCTAGGCGCGAGTACGAATTCGCGGAGGAAGGATAATATAAAAGGAAACCGCAGCATAATTGTTGTCAGTGTGCACTTGCATATAGGAATGCTGAAGGATGTCTTGCTATGCTGTCCCGTCAATGTGCGCCGGACTTTACGTTTACGAAGCACACAACGTCTTTTCCGTTCTTATTGCCCTTGGAATTATGTCCATAATAATATAATAATAAGCTAATACCGTGTCATTAAGTGTGGTGACACCCCAATTTGAGACTGTTTCTATCGCTACACGTTCCCTATTATTCCTGTTTTATTTTTCAAGCAATAAAATAACGGCTTATGGCCAAATGTGAAACAAAAAATAAAATCATGGCTGGCTGAATAGTTGCCATGAGTTTTGGCTGCAGCTCGGCATTGTATAAAAAATAATGTGAGTCGTTTCGCATACGCGGGACAATCTCTATAAGATAGTATGCGGCCTTCTAATATTGAACAAGCTTTTTTTACTTTCTGCGACTGTTCAAAATTATTCGTACAGCGTACGGATTTTATTGACGGATCTTGTTCCGTTGCACTGGAGGCGATATTCGAACAAAAATATGTAGGTTGATGTGCTGTTGACTGTACATGGTGTTGACTCTTGGTAAAATATTAAAAATCATCGTGCAAGAATTTTACGTTCTACTTGGGATTTCTCAATAAAAACAAAAACGAAGTACACGACACTAGTTTATTGGATATCAATTTAGGCCACAATTTTTTATTGGTGCAAATATAGAATAAAACAATCACTTTACAAGTCCACTGCCACTTTTCCAAGGACACTCCGTCATAAGCTACACGATTCTCATAACGTCGCCTTACTTTCTAAATTTCGTATCTTAAGGCAAAAAGTTACTGAAATGCAAAAAATGGATTGCATATATACAAATTTTGCATGCTGATTTCACATTTCCTTCATATTCACACATTGGCTTTTACCTATTCTTAAAGTAATGCATCCAAATTGACACCCTCTATAAGAAATTTGAAATAAATAAAAAGTTTTGCCATCTCTCTGAATAATCACTCTTTAAAAGATACGAGTTTGAGAAAGTAAGGCATCGATATCTACTTTAACAGCCTTACTTATAAACACCATTTAACTTTAAATAACGCTTTAAACAATGTTTTAAAAAAAATCTTACCCTATAAACATTGATTAGTGCTAAATGATTGATTAATTTGTTGTATAAATAGCTGTCAAGTTAAACACCCTAGGAACTTGTTTAAATCGGTAACAAGATGGCTGACATTAATCAGCCGTTAGCAAGTTAGTAAACACCAATGAGTCAAGCATATTTATTTTGATTTTTATTGTGAGAAAATGTTTACTTGAATTGTGAAAAAATGGAAAATTTTCGGCGTAATATAGCAGATTTGCGGTATTTTAGACAGAGGCGCGCAAAGAACAAGAATTGATACGATCCACGGCTCCAGTTAGATAGATGAATATGAATAAGAAACGATATCGTTTTTCCAAAGAAAATATGTTAAAGATATGTTAACAATGAGTTTGTCAGTATTTGTCTTTGATTCAATTTTTAGATTTTCGCTCCA